ATCAATCAATTAATCAAGTGTATTCATAAGACTGCTTGATTCCGAAATTACGCCCGTTCCTAGCTTGGCTCACTTATTGAATTTAATTGACTGCAATCCAATGACGAAAGGAAGTATATTGCTACCAACCTGGCTGCTACCAAGGTCGATAACAACACACAACCCCTTCGCCATTGAAAACACTCCAGGAATAAAAAAGCTCAAAAATATAGCTTGAACTAATGGTGACTTTTGTAACCTTGTCCCATCGAAAATATATCCAACACAGCAGTTGACAGAGAGCTCACCACTTTCATTAGCACAATTAACAGTGGAAATCAATCTCTGGACTCACACCTACCTAGCCCCATAGGGAAAAACACTTATACACCTCCAATCTTGAACAGAAGTTACTCCAACATAGAAGCTTTGATTTCTTCACTGCTGATAGAGCGAATCCTTCCAAAACGGTGTCAAGGACATGTGTAAAACGACGAAACACTCAAGATTTTATAGATTCAGACACCCCACATTATTCAATGTTAACTACCATTGTGTAACGCGAAATAAAAAAAGGAACCGAAAAACTTTCCGCAGGTTGTCGTTCAACGAAAAAAGGAATTTCATTTTTCAGAGGTATTCTTCAGCGTAGGAAAAATCCCTCGGAAAAACATGGGCCGAGATGGGGGCTTGGACAGTTTTGAATAACAAAGTAACTAGCAACTACTTCCATGTACCATCTCTCGAATACCAACCTAACCTATATCCAATTAAACTACTGACCTGAATATGAATAATGTTGCTGAAGAAATCAACTTCCTCATCGGAATTTCTCAATGGCGTCAATTGCTTCAACTGTGAATGATCTGAGAAACAATCTACAAGCAGAGCCAGGCATTTCACACATTCTTCTCGTACAATCTGAATTCAAAGAACTTCTCGAAAATCATTTCCCCATTCCCTCTGGAACGTACCTCATTTTGAGATCGCATTCCAACAGTATACACGTGTATAAGTTCTGCATCTAGGAAACTGAGCTTATTCGCTTGTTCGTAGGGCATCCTCGAAAAGTACTGCATGAGAGATCGAAGATTTGAGCCGGATGATGCACGTAAAGAAATATCCTTGGACTAAACAATTTTAGAAAGTCGAAAATCACAGCCATATCTTCGAATGAATTGCAACACCCATCATAGCTTAGAAATGGGTTTTCCTTTTTACAGTGTGAGTAGTGTCATTAGT